TGTACATTATAACAAATGTTCTCTTTGCATTACAATTGAATTGTGATTGTTATGTTCAATCAATGGGGAAAGGTCACGGGATCGCTCCTGCCAGCGCTTTAATGGAGAAGTCGATGAGGATTCATTTTAATCACTGCGGCTGTGGCAGAATGAGCACAACACTGAGAGACTGTCAATGGCCCGGTAATTACCGCTGTTTATACAGGTTTCTGCTTTAGCAATTTAGATATCCACAAATCTCTCTGTTTCTTGCACCCCAGTTATATTGGAAGCTGCGTGGCATCAAATGAAGTACTGCAGGATGTGGGCCGTGACTACTCTAATTGTGGGAGAGGCTGGCTCTTTGAAAATGAAGTGAACTCCATTTGCTCCTCTTTTGAGCAGTCACATTACCAGAAAGCTGTTATTTTACATACTTTGTGTGAAGGAGCATTCTATTATCTGGCCTGTTGTATCAAGAGGTGGAAGATTGTGGGAAGTAATTCACCCAAGTATAAAGTGAGCATCCACGGTTAACTCTACTGTGTAAATAAATACTGGTTCTAAATTAAACTCTTCGGTAACGTCATTGCTGAAATCGTGATTGTATCATTGAGAAATTCTAAGACATAATAGTCATTTTCCACAATTGTTCACTAAATGTGGATTCTGCGTTGCTTTTTTCAGACTTTTCTAACTTTATTTTCTCTTTGGAAAAGTTAATTTAGTGTCATTAGCCTACACCTCGAGTTAATTAGGGCTGCAACATTAATTTTTTCAATATTGATGAATCCGTTGATTAGATTACATGGCTGAAAAGTGTCAAAATTACACATCAAACATTCCCAGAGTGAGGGTGATGCCTTTACGTTGTCCGAACAAACAATCCAAAACAAAAAAGATTGAAAATGCACTTAATTTGAGAAAGTCTGAATCACAGAATGTTTTGTGTTTTTGCTCAAAATGAACCTAATCAGTGATTTGCCAAGTAATTTTAAACAGTTTTATCGCTAATATTGACTGCCACATTTTGGATTAAATTAAACAGTTTGTGATTCTGATTATAAGAATACAGAAGCTGTCACTACACACTGAACAATTAGCATTCTGAGAGATGTCCAATCCTTTTAATTGTAATTAGATATTAATTTAATGGCCAGAGTAGACAATTATCATACCGCCTCCACCATCAGCATGCTCTCTGACATCTCCCCTTTACCCCGTGTGACATGTTTGTGTTGGCCGCTTTCTAAGGATAGATGGGGTCAAGGCAGTGTAACCTTGGAGAAGCAAATATTCATGATCAATACGTGCTTTATTCCAAGCATCTAAATGATTCTTATGTCTGAAGCTGCTCCCCCGCCTCCCTATTTGCCCATGCGGAAAAGCGGTTTGAAGATTTATGCAGACTAGGTAAAAGGACATTTTAAAAGACTACACAGTATCACTGCTTCCAAATGTCATGTAATCATAGGTTAGGGGAGAGTGCTGTGCACAGAGGGCTAAGTGATGTTACAGATAATGAATTGCCTCTGAAATATAATACATCGTGAGTATGATTCTTTATTCCAAGCTCTGTACACCAACTCTGTTCAATTAAAGTTATTTATCTCTCTTGTTTTTTAAGTTCATCAATTATATTGTGATACACTTAATGTCCATAAGAGGATGATGTATGATTGGTCTAATTATTTCTTATTCACCATGCTTTCTAAAGCATATCAATTTTGTTAATACCATGTAATTAAAACACGTCAGCGCGCTACAAGTTGCTGGCTGTATTAATGACTATGAAAATTATTTTAATTAAATAGCCAATTATAGAAAAATCCTAACCATGAGAATTGACATTTAAATGAATTCAATTTAAATTGCTTTTCAACATTGTTTTATCAAAGCTTTATGGGGTGAATAAATTATTACATCAAACAATATACGGTGTCATTGATCATACACAAGTCTTGTCCCATATCCATACATTTTGAAACACTTTCCTGATGCCATAACTCATACTGGGTGATTACGTTTTGACACAGTCATTTGTTTACTGCAATCTCCTCCGCATGTACTGTACTTCAGTGTACTTTTAGGAGAAGTCTGTTAACTGTTTGTGTTACTTAAAGATTTAGTCACGCTGGAAACTTCATTCACGGTACAAATATCCAACTATCTTTGCAAGGACAATTTAACACAGCCACTACTTGGCCCCACTGTGCCTGGAAACAAATAGTTTTTCAACAGTTTTCTTAGTAAGCCGTTTCCTCTCAAGATTCCCATACCTGATTTTTACATTCAATACTGATTTTGCATTTGTGCTCAATTATATCAGCAAAGTATTGTGGTGTAATGCACAGCGCCAGTTTTCAGACTTTATTTTTTTGTTGCGTTTTGTTTTCGTAACCGGGGTCAGACACATGCAGCCCACCCAGTCTGTTGAAAGCCCTTTGTATCTGAAACATCATACATATCCTGTGGTGCCTTTTAATACCTATCAGGCCACTCAGCCTCATATAGCCTTTCCTGCATAATCTTAATGAAAGTCATTTTTCAGACATTACAAGCACAATGATTTGCAGTTAACCCATGCAAACAAGAGAAATAGTGGGCAAACTGTTGTGACATTCATTGTATATAATGAAATCTTAATATGGTGCATATTTAAGTGAAAGGTTAGCAACATAAAGGGCAAATGGATTGCCTGGCAATGAATTTTAAGCAGCTATTGATTTTACACTACAAGCTACCTCTTTCCCTGAATGATAATTTTGAAATGGCACGCTGCTTATCTTAAAGCTGATCTTAACAGGACAACAGCAATACACAGAACATTAAGGCAAATGCAGACTGTGATAAGAAACACCCTTTCTGATGTGAACTGCATTCATTCCACCTAATGCGCTTACATGGTGAGTCCTGATGTCCTCTGCTAAATGTAATGCATTTCACAGCAAAATGGTCAACTTCGATAAACATGGCAAAAAACAAAAGAAATATAAGAAAGCTGTGTGTGTATGTGTTGGGAATTGAAGGTAAAAATCCATAAAACTTAAATAATTCCCTTTTTTTTATTTGACAAAATGCCAGAATAGCTTCCTGCAAAACAGAATCCAATACGTCCACCAAGATTGGACTATCCAGCTACATGTATACATAGTTTGCGGTTTTACACCAACAGATGAATCTAGGAAGAAAGGCAGGAAGAAAGTTATTGTAACTCATGATGTTCCACAGTGATTGAATACATGTGTACACTCTACATGAGCTGTTATTGTGCATGGACATGACCCTGCCCCCATGCACAGTGCTGCATTTCCTCCCTCTCTGCCTTTATCCTTCTTTCCTGTACAGTGTGAGATTGAGAGAAAGTTTGAGAGTTTGTGTTCTTACTGTGTTAAGCTTGCTTCAGTACGCAGCATTATAAAAAATAAACTGATGTTATGTCCGGTGTTGTTTTTACAGTGATTTGAAACTGCAATACTGCAAAAGAAAACAATTATTATGGTCTCTATTAAAGGTGGGGTAGGTAAGTTTGGGAAACCGGCTCGAGATACACTTTTTGTTATATTCCATGGAATGCTCTTAACATCCCGATAGCAATGAATATCTTAAGTGCTTTGACAAAAAATCCATAAAAAATGTCATCTGTGGAAGCTGTAATACTGTAAAAAGCACGACCAATCATTTTAGCCGGCCCGGCTAAAATAACTGGATGGCCTACCTGCCTGTCAGCCTTCCATCTGTGCACAAACTTATCTCGTGCCCTCATTGGTCATGTGAGCGTTCATGTGTGTTGGAGGAGGGGCTCTGTAAGGAAGTGGCAGATTTTTTCCGGCTGTGTATTTTCAAATTCTAGCGATCTCGAGCCGGTTTCTCAAACTTACCTACCCTACCTTTAAATGTGTCAATACTTTAATATATTTACATAGAATCAAACTTTTTATGTTTTATAAAAAGTGAGGTTTTATTAAACGCGAGTCTTTATAAAAGTGAGAACCTAACCATTTGTTTAGGTTTGAACTCATTTGGTAATTTGTTGTTGTTCTCACACTACATCAGATTCTCAAATGTAATGCTATATAAAGCATTTAGTTTATCTCTCTCTTTAGTTGAATTGTTCTCATGCACAGCATAGTGCCTATACTGTACTTATCTGCAGCTCAGTCGAGTTTATTAACTATGTACACACTGTAGTAGTTAGCATGGGTATTGAACTTGAAATGGACATTGGGGAAACAACTGCTGGCATGAAGCACTGCAAATGTAAGATGATATAACTTTTACAACGCATTAGATTTGAGATGAGTGATAACAGTGAGACTTTAAATAGTACTTTTACTGTTGTACATTAGCAGTTTACATATCAATATATAGAGAGTTTTAGTATGCATACAAAAAGTCTATCTCAAAACAGCCATTGCCTCATTCGCCTTGTGTAATGCACTTTATAGAAAGAGCTATAGCCCCTTTGACTGTGCAAATACAATAATCATAAAGGACTAATTTAATGAGACATATTTTCCTTTCTCACAGACATCGTGAACCTTGAACAGTGACTCATACTGGCATGCTTAGTGAGACAATATTACAAATATAAAAAGTGAAAAGAGCGTTAAACAGTTGCAGGATGTAAGCAAAAAAGGGTACACACTGTTTTAATAAAACATTTGACTGTTTTAGGATGTTCAACTGTCAATAGAGTGGTGCAATGGGTTTGCATACTGTTGGATAGCAGGTGTAAACCTGTCAGGCTGTTAATGTGTTATTAGAAGCAGAAATAACTGTTAACTGACATTTTAGATTTATCTTGATGTGTGTTTTTTCCCACAGCAAAAACATGCAAATTACCAGATTATGATCCGATATAACCGGATCTCTTTAATGTGGAATAAACAATTAAACACTTTAACAGACCTGAACGATTTGAGTGTAGCCCGAGCCCAGTTATCTGCTCTTCAAAGGCTCCCACTGTCCCCTAGCTCCTCCCTCTCTGTACCGTGTGACAACAACAACTCATCCACAGAGCGGAGCTGCACTTTTCAGCTCATTTTCCTCCTGTCATTCCTCCTCCTATCTTTGATCATTGTCCCGCCGCTCAGCCCCCCCAAAAGCCTCACTCAGAACGCCTTTTTTCGGCAGCTCTTTTTACTTCCCAACTTATCTGAGGGGCTAAACTCTCGTGGATTCTTTCATTTAGGGGTGTCTCGGCAGGCTGGGTTTTATACTTTGAACTTCGGCTACTCTCTTCCCCTCCTGTAGGTGACCATGGCCGTACCGGCTGCTCTGATCCTACCAACTCATCTCGTCCCACCGCCTTCGATCTCGACTCCCTCCGCTACGACGTCCCCGCCGTCGACAACTTCATCCCCATCTCCATCCCTATGCCTGGCCCCCCCACCCGGAACCGGGCAGAACCTGTTCAGATCAGAGCACCTCGTCAGCGGCAGCCCGGGCATCCCGAACGCTGGTCTTCCACCCGGCAAACCCGTGTACTCGACCCCGTCGCCTGTTGAAAACATACCGCAAAACAATGAGTGCAAGATGGTCGAGTTGCGCGGTGCCAAAGTGGCGTCTTTCACCGTGGACGGCTGCGAGCTCATCTGCCTTCCTCAGGCTTTCGACCTGTTCCTGAAGCACCTGGTCGGCGGGCTGCACACCGTCTACACCAAGCTGAAGCGGCTGGAGATCACGCCGGTGGTGTGCAATGTGGAGCAGGTCCGCATCCTCAGAGGGCTCGGCGCCATCCAACCCGGGGTGAACCGCTGCAAACTCATCTCCAGAAAAGACTTCGAGACCCTGTACAACGACTGCACCAATGCGAGGTACGTGGAGAGCTCTGTACGGCGTGTTGGTTTAAATGTCTGTACGGACAGCCGTGCGTAAAGGCGCGGGAGCAAGGAAGAGGGAGACATTTTAACTTAAACAAGTGTTTCAAGTGACGAGATACATTTGCCATTCGAAGTTACAAATCGCTTGTTTTTAGTTGGTGCAATTGTGAGCGTGTGTTACTAACTTTTGTCGTAGTTGTCAGTTAGACGGGAAGAGGCCAGCGCGCGACATCAGTGAAAAAGTTTAGTGAAAGTTTTTAGCACGTGCAGGGCAAAGCTGTGCCATGATGGATAGCCTGTCTGCCTCAGAACAAATGAATCGATAATGTAGGCTACACAACGGCTGAGTTTCACAATGGTGTAGAATAAACTTCAGGTGTAGGGCTGCCAATGCAAAGACAATTTTATAAACATCATGCCAATCATATTTTATGACCCTTACTTTAATGTAATACCTCTTTATTTAAGGAATCCTCTTTTGAATGACTTGAAAAAAATATTATTTCTTTTGATATGCACTTGCCACCAGGGTAATACATTTTCAATTATAACTTTGATTTGAAAAGTAAACAAGGCGAACCATAATTAACATAATTATATGACATGATATATTTTTTGTTATAATTGTTCTGTCAGTATGACAGCCAGTACAGATTTTAAAGAGGTTCAATTACACTCACTACACCTCTAGTGTATGAAGCCAGTTTTTCCACACTGTAAATGCCAGGGATAATAGTCAAACACTCTTATTAAAATGTATCTTAATGAAACATGCTTGCTTTTAATTAAACAAATCAATTAATATAAAGCATGTGGAAATTAATGCATTAAGCCATATTACCAAATCAAATATTTTGAGCTTTATATGTTTTAATATGGAGTGATTTAAGTGAAGATCAATATTTGATTAAAAGCCATTTTTACTGTCCTGTTGCTCCTAGCTTTGATGTATCGCTCAGTCTCACAGGATGGTTCAGCCTGGTCAAATTTACCATCTTACCTGTCACTATGATTGATTTCATATTGATCTCCTACCCAGAAATGAGCTGGAAATGCAAATATGATGGAAAGGCTCACATCAGTGGGGAATAGCAATAAACACTTTGAGTCACTTGGTTATCTCGGTGTAAAAGCAGACAGCCTTATGAAAAATTATAGTGTGAAATTAAAAGTTATTTCTGACTTTAAGATGCATGCTTAGTATAAAACGCACGTGACAAAACACTCAAGCACACAGAAGTTGCTGTGCAGACAGATTTCTTTTTGTGCCATTAAGATCCATATGTATGATGAGGTTGACTACATGTTGACCCTGAAAGCACTGCTGTATCTAAGTGCCTTGGCCTGGTCAGAAAATGACAAATGAAATAACTGACACAACATTTTGAGGAAGGGAGAATAATATTATTCTGTGAAACATTTTTAATTCTCAAGCTTTTTTCTAAATTCATGTAATTGTAATCGTTTGTTTCTTTAATTAATACACATAGTACCTGTTCTCTTTATGCCTAAATCAAAACAGTCAGCCTCACACATCTACATTATATATAATATTGAGAGCTTATAAATATGCTGTACTCTCATATTTCCATTGCTGTTGTACTCGTCTTAACAACCTGTGCACTTGGGTGCTTAGACATCATTTACATAAAGCATTGAGAGAGCAGAACCCCCTCCTCTTTCTCTCTTTAGAAAAAAAAACATACAGCTCGGTTATCCTCTCCTCAAGCCTGGCGTGGGGCTTCAGGTGACAAAGTATGTGGTTGAACTCTCCGGGTTGTCAATGGGGGGATGGCCAGCGATGGGGTTAAAGGATAATGCAGTGCCTCGCGTCGCTTTAATGACGCTAAAGTGGTGGGCTATTACGGGCACATGGACAGGACTGTAATTGTCTCTGAAAGCAGCCAGGTACTCCCGGTGCTGGGCTGAAATCAATCACTCAGACCCGGCCTGCCCGCCTGCCTGCCCCATTTGGAGAATTACATCATGGAACAGTGAGGCATCCGCTGGATAAAAGGCTTCTGTTACTTAGAAAGAGTTGATTTTATTTGCAGGGATGTGTGCTTTACACAGACTGTCATTGAATTGCTGCTGACAGAATGATCAGTCTGAGTAAACAGGACACAGGTTGCCCTGTAGGTGAAAACGAGTTCCCTCTCCAAAGGCGGTGCTCCGTTTTGCCCCGACTTAGTGTCAGTTAAAAAGTATCTGAGTTCACCGGTTAACCTGCTCAGGTTACACAACAACAGCCTGCTGCCTGAGAGACTTAAGCTTTTCATCTCGGCCCTATTACTACCTATTATCACAACTCTTATTATGCAGTGGCAGAGTGGTAACAATGAAGTGAATAATACTCCTGTACAATGGCTCTTACTATTTCACATGCTGTTTTTTTCCCCTCCCACGGTCTATTGTGTTAAAACAACACTACTCTCATTTTGCACACAGTGTGAATGTGAATAGCATCACAGAGCATCGCTGCATCCCGCTGGTCTAGTTTTGATGTGGACACAAACAAACTCCAACCAAATTGTTCCCTACTATGCCTACTTTAGCATAACATTAAACAGAAAATAAATCTGTTGCTGAGAAACGCAATGTTGGATTTTTGTATTTATTATTATGGTAATGGTACAAAAAGATATAATGAAAAATTCCTTTGTCATACTTAAAGATTGAGTGTTTGTACTTGTCAAATAACTGACACGGTATTTTAGTCATTATTGTTCATCTTTAAAGATACTAGGAATACAGTTATTCTTGACCCCTTCATTTTCTTAAGGACTCTCGTGGCAGATTAGGAGTGTTCACTCTTGCTCCCTGACTGATCCAGGTTCAGTAATCTCCCCTACATTATGACTCTGACTCTCCAGGAGCCCTCCAGGAGCCCTCTGTTCCAGCTACATGTTTTCCTTTTCATTTTCCCTGTGGTGGGATGGAAAAGGTTCTTATTGCTGCGTGACACTTGAACTCTCTGAAAGGTTATTATAACACGGGGGGCGGTGCAGAGATATCGCATATCTCTCATTGGTCTGCTTTGTAGGGGCAGGCTATCCGATGCTGGGGCGCAGAAATGCAGCAGTTAATTGACAATCATTGTCTACCCTTGAAGGTTAACCACACGCCCCAGACAATGTCCCACCACTGGGAATGGGACGGCTTTTCACTTACATGCCCTTCTTAAATAGATTTTCCCCGGCTCGTTTCAGTCAAACAGATCCTACTCTGAAACGTTACGAGTGACAGGTCACAGTGGAACGACTTCTTCTTTAACAGATATATTTAATTGATACTGATATGACAGAGAGTGTTTTGAGAGCTATCACCTCTCTTGTTCCTATTTCAAGAGTGTTTATGCCTAAACACACGTATTTGCAAATGACGGTAATTGTTTTGTTTAGCGCTCAGTGTGAGCTGCCACCGAGGGTGCCAGCTTGTCTCTCTCCCTCCTCTCCTCCGCTGAGCTCTCTTATAATATATTTGTTTTCTACAAGGCACGGATGTGTTTACAGGTACTCAGGGGAGATTTCTGGATTCCATTCAAATCATTCCCAGTCAGAGTGGGTGCTAAGATACCCGTCACCCAGCAACCACATCCAAGAGGGAGCTTGGGCGATAATAACTTCAAAAACAGAGTGACAGATGCCTGATTAGAGAGAGAGAAAGAGAGGGGGAGATAGAGAGATGAGGGGAGAAAGGAAGATGGGTGTATAGAAAGCTGTTTAAAATCCAAATCTATTCAAGTACTTTTTCGAAAGTCAAATTGGCCCTCATATCATGCGTTGTTTCTTTATTAAAAGAAAACAAAAGCATTTAAAATTCTCTCTCTCTCTCTCTCTCTCTCTCTCTCTCTCTCTCTCTCTCTCTCTCTCTCTCTCTTTTTAGCATTTTAATCCTTCAGTGGGGCTCTGGTAAATTTGATTAGGTACAGTACATGTGCTCAAGTCAACTGTGCAGTTGGCAGATGGCGGCAAGGTGTTTTTTGCAAACAAATAGTCTCCTTGAAAATCAAAATTGCTTTATTGACTTGACATTCATTCAGCCGGAACAAGTGCAAATTAAAACATTTTTTTAAGCAAAATCCACAGACTAGCTCACTTGACAAAAGAAACATTAATTTTCCTCATTTGCAGTAAGATCATTTTTTTAAAGCTTGCAATAACGCTGAGCCAAGACTATCCAAACCCCAGATTTCATTCGTTAAGGAGGCTTTGTTTGACACTGTCTGATGTCATTTGTGGGTTTAGAGGATATTTGCATGGCAAAGAGGCCTGTATTGTTAATTTGCCTGTTGGATGCATTAGTCGTCCAAGCTCCTATCTTATTTGCATGCCTTTTACTGGATCGGCAACAGCAATTGAATTACCAATTAATTCCTCTACCAAATGGTTTAAAACCACACTCTGACATCAGGTCTTTCCACGTTAATCAGCATATTAAAATGACCTATTTTTACTGTGCTCACCGACCATAAACGGGCATTAGCTTGGATTTTTATAGACAACAGACTTGAGCTGTTTAAAATCTATCTGTCAATATGACTTATCTAGCATGTTAAACTAGATTTGTTAACAGTGATTTTACCTGATGATTTTACACTTGAGACTGATTGCCTGACAGGGCTGCAATAGATTTTGGGTCACTCTGATTTCCCTTCCTCTCTTTCCCTTGGTTGTCTTTACTCACGGGCTCCTTCACATTACTGCACATTTAGGGAGCATGGCGGAAGTCACTGATGCTCGTTCCAGGATGTTAAATGCTACTGACAGAAGTTAGAGGGAGCAGATGAGATTTTCTGATTGGAGAAGGAATGCAGGCCCTTGCCTGGCTCTGTCTAATATGGTCACATAGAGAAATTGATTTTCCTCAGAAATTAATTAATTTTTCATATAGCCCAAAGCTGAAGTTTAAAAAAGAGTGCACACTTGCTGGTTTCCTATTTCCCCCCCTTTTTTAAAGAATTATTGCCTAATCATATTAATACTTTTGCCCCA